TGTACATCAGAAAATGCGCCTTGAGGCATGGAACATATGTACCAAATATGCCAAAGATGTCTACAAAATTATCTCAGTTATTATTAAAAAACTGATTATTTTTGAAAACTTTGCCACCCTGTATCTCAAAAGTTAAGGCGTTTAGGACATACGTCCATAGGAAGTTTTTTTCTCAAAATGGGTCTAAGAATTACCTCCTTAAATATTAGCATGTGTTTAAGGAACACCCTGTATAGCTTTACACCCAGTTTCAACAATATGTGTAAAGAAAAAGTTGAGTTGAGAAAACAAAGTACAAGTAGGATATAAAACAAAAAAAGTGACTTTTGGTGACTAATTCAAAATGCATGAGAGAGAAATCACTTTAAAGTCAGACCTCGCACATTAAATTTGAATTGTTACACTTTATTGTTATTGATGCTTTTGTTTTGTAAGTATCCCAGTGAAATACGAAGATTTTTTATCAAGTTTCTTTAGGTATCTTCACCTTCTTCAATCTGAAAAATATGAAAATTGTAATGGAGAGCTTTATACACATATTCACCAAACTTTTTAGTTCACCCTGATAAGTTACTGCATACATTTCACAAAAAAAAAGAGGTAAGATATTATGAAGATACTTATCTTAACTTTTCGGAGGTTAAAACTTGCCTAAGCCTCCAGAATTGGTAAAATCTAAATCTATAAGCCGTTTTTCTTTACTGATTCTGTTCATTTCTAAAGATTGTGGAAGGTGAAGATATCAAAAAAATGTCAATAAAAACTGATTTTCCTCCAGAAAAAATTAGTTCAGTATGAAGAATTTATTACCAGAAATATAAAACAAATTTTTGGCAGAAGTAGAAATCTCATTATTACTATGATGAAATATCTAAAAATATTATACTTTACAGCGTCTCTTTGTCTGTCCATCAACCCAAAAACTACCAAACGGATTTTCATAAGATTTTCACAAATAGATGGAGTGATCAAGACGGAGATTTGTGTGTATAATTCGCAAGGTTTTGCCATTAATAGTTTATATAATATCTGCATATATATTGTTACTTATACACTTAAAACACTAATACAATATACTAATAGTTTTAAAAATATACACAATCATTTGAGGTTAGCACCTAACGTAATGATTTGATATGTAATTATTTTTAAAAAAATAAACAAAAAGGCAATATATGCATTAATATCCATTTTATAAACTTAGCCTTGGAGTTTTTTTAATTATTTTTCTAAAATTGGGTCAATCTTCTATAATTTCATAAACTACACCTCACGATTTGATCTTCACAAAGTTTGTAGATATCAAATTGTTTATCAAATCAAATTACTACGGATCTTCATCAAGTAACGGCCGAGTCAATCAGAAAA